CACCACTCATAGCCAAAGTTTTCTGGGTGGTTCGCAACATTTCAGTCACCCATCCCAATTTCAACCAGGCTCAAACCTGCTTAAATTCCAAGATGAGGCAGAATCAGGCACTTCAGGCTATGCAGGGCTTTCATTGGAGGGCTTTCATTCACAGGGTCGTCAAGTTGGAGATTAAATGATGGCACATAACAACAATCTAGAGTGGTCAGTATCTGAAAAGGCATCATTATGTGAGTATTACAGGGTTTCCAGGGCAGGCTGAAACACAGCCAGCACAGAGTGCTCCTGAAAACTATTGTTTGCATAAATACAGGGGGTGGGGTGTTTGTTGTTTTCAGAGAGGAACCCTGGGCAAACAGCCTCTGAATCTCAATTGTGAAGTTGAGCTTCAGTGAAGATGCCCATACCTCTGTGGAGGAGCGTTTGCTCTGTATGCAGAAATCTTCAGGTTCTGTCCCTCATATCTTCTGTCAAAGGTACCCCTGTTGGTAGGGAACAGAATCATGTCAGCCGGGTGTCCTAAAAACCTCAGAATAGACTGAACCAATCTAGGATGCCGCAGACAAAACTGTTCCTGCTGCAGAAAGTAGACTTAGGGTGCAATCCCATGAATACCTAGGTACCACAGAGCACTCCCAGTATGGCTAGCTGGGATATGCTGGGAGTTGTAGGACTTTTTTCTGGGTAAACATACACAGTCCTTATATACAAATGGAAATACTTTAAGGATACAATCCTATACCTGCTTAGAGATAATGCCATAGATTCAAGCAGCAGTTAATTCTGAGTGGACGTGCAAAGGGTAACATTTTTAGCCTAGTTGGGTGGAAATTATATCAGGATCTGTCAGGAATTATTGATACTTTCCGCACTGATGTACTCTAATAAATGCAATTTTTGATTGGGGCAATCCATGTCCAATTTTTGAGACACACTCATTTCAAAGGAGTGCTGAGTTTCAGTTCATATATTGCTTCAAAGGGGAGAAAATAGATATGTTTGTATTAAAATAAGAACTGAATAAATGTCTCTTGCATCTCTAATTGATGCATATCCAAATGTGCATTCAGCTTTGCATCCCATTGAAAATACCATGTTCTTTTGTTTTAGCAGTGTGTGTCCGATAGAGCGAGAGAGAGTGCTAGCCAGCGAGCGCACACACGCAGTAAGAGCTGGAGAAGTACTGAGCTGCCTGGCACTAGAGCTTGCACAATCCTCATTGTCAAGAGAACTATTTATGCTTGTTATGTGTTGATGATAGTTTATTTTAAGTGCAAAGCTGTTATGTAGTCTGCTTGGCACTCGCAAGACTATGTTAATTTTCCTCTCTCTCTCTCAGCTGTTAAACAAAACGACCTTGCTGGGAAGATAATAGAATTTTGTAAATAGCATTTCAGCAACTAGCAATACTTTGCAGATGCATAACCCTACCCTACCCCTGCTACACATACACACTCACAGAGTTGAAAAATCTGAAAGTGTTTTTAAAAATTAAGACTATAAAACCCAGCTATTTATCTGTTTGTTTATTTTATTTATACCCCACTCTGTCATCCAAAGAGCCACAGGCTTCTTGGGAGTCAGAGGCATGTCTCTGTCAACCTTTGATTTGAGGCATAGCCCAACTTGTCAGTCAGGTACCAGAGTTTGCACTAGAAATTGGTTTTAAATGTAAAATACAATTACATCCATATGCATTGTCTAGTATTCCTTCCCCTCTGTGTCTAAAGAGGAGGGAGTCTCTGAGCATGTGAAGAGTCATTCTCAATGTCAGCACTTACCCACTGGGGATTAAGCATTAGGTTTCCTAAATAAAGAGAAGCTTTCTGTACAGAATCTAGTCTCTGCATTTCTTTTTTTTTTATGGATTAAGGAATTCTTGTACTGCCAGGACACCCCTAAATGAATTGGCCTGGATCTTGAAAAATTATTATACCAAGGATAACAGAACATTGGCAAAGCTTTAGGCCTCTACTAAAAACGATCTTTTTGTGGCTTAATCTGGAATTTAGGAAGTTCTGTTCATCATCTCAGCCACTGAAACCTTTGGGAAAGAAGTCATCCTGCTAATTCTAAAATGTGAATGCTCATGTGCACACGCGCGCGCACACACACACACACTCACACACCAATTTTTCATATTTGCTTTTGCTTTTCTTCCAAGGCGCTGAGTGGCCAATGCAGGGTCTATTCCATTTTGTACTATTAATGACAGTGTGAAATAGGTGTGTGTGTGTTGGGGGGGGGACTTTTACCCATGGCTTTTCAGTCGATTACTTAGTAAAGTGGGACTCCGAACAATTGTAAACTCGAACACACACTATCCATTGCAGAACCTGGGCTGTTTACTGACACCATCTGCGGGATTCAGTCTGAGGTTGTCTTTTGGTATTCCATTGACTGAGACATTCAAAAGACTGATGCTGGATGAATCATGCTCTAGTTTTGCGACACATACAATGGTTTCACCTTGGCTCAGCCTGGATGAACATCATTAGAACCCATATGCTAACGAGCAACCTTGCTAGAAAAGAGACTGCTACAATTCTTTGTTTAAAAACAAAACAAAATTGAAAAGGACATGCACTAAATACTACAGCATGCTAAGGGGATGAAAAAGAAGAGGTAGGGGCATAAAAATGTAGGCGGCATCAAATGGGTGCCCCTTCTGGCTGTTGTGTCACAGGAACCAACCAACAAATTCCCCTGATATGTGTGTTCCCTCTAAAGATTGCTGCATCCTGGATTATAATCCATTTAGAGAGTCTTTGAGCTGGCTGATGCAGCCAATAATAAATCTAAAAATAAATATATGAAATATATATGAAAGCCTATTATTTAATGGGGAGGGAACATGCCTTGCCCGCTGCAAAAGGAACATCACCTCAGTCCCATTTCTTAGCTCTTCATTCCAGCAGTTGGAATTAATCTGTCGGTTGGGTAAATATTTGGGTGAGCAAATCATCTTGCGCCGCGGCCATTTTGCTACTTCAGGACTAATTTGTAAATTTGTTCTTCAGGACTCATTTGTCGAATGATTCTGATGTTGAAAGATTCAAGGTCATGAAGCAGTTTAAACAAAAGCGGGAAGCATGGTAAAAGGGAAGAAACAATTTAATCAGATCAGGGATTCCTAAACTTTACTTGTGTTAACCTTTCTAAGTTAATGAGGGAAAAAAGTCTGTTTCAATCTCCCTGGTATTAATTGAGATACAATAGAGTCAAGCATCTGAGCTCCCGATACTCAGTTCCAGAGCCATTTCCTGAACTGACCCTGATAGGACTGTGCAATAGCCTTGAGCAATTGTCACATTCATATGATCAGTTTAGGGAGGGTGTTTGGGCAACAGGACAGACATTATTGGTGGGATGGATATACCCAGATAACAGAACCAGGCTGTGTACTGAATTGGAGGGATGGGGCAGATTTCATAACCTGCACCTGAAACAATCAATGTACTAATTGAATCTGTAAAGTAATATCCAATTTCGTCCTGAGCCATGCTGTGTCAGGCACTATGCCTTTCTACTTTCAGCCATGGCTAAGAACACCCACCCCTGTGGGAGCTGCTTCAATCAGTTTCCTTGCAGTGTTTGTTAGATAAATTTGGGGTCTGTGTCCCAGAGGTACACGGTGTGTTCTAACTTTATGTGAGTACTGGGCTTCAACACAGAGATGCCAGAGGTGTTTAACTGACCTGATTCAGGACCAGGTCTAATCTTAAGTTTTCATATTTCCCCAAATTTTGTGGTACAATTTATTTATTTATTTTATTTACAATATTTTTAACCCCTTCCTTAATAAACTTCCCAGGACAATAAAATTTCTTGTTTCAAACTGGAACAAAGACATCTATAAAAGTTAAAGTATTTTAGGAAAAAATTAATAAAAAATGTATACCTTTTGTGAAAAAACCTTTCATCTTTCAATATGAATGTTCATGTCTTAAAACTTGCAGGCTGATGTGGAAATGGAGAATGGATGAATGAACTTACGAATGAATTATGACTTACGAATGAACAAATGCAAAATTATCATGGACTGGAATGGACTGATCCATCCATCCTTACCTCACCTTTTGACACCACCCTAGTCTTTCAAGCACACTCTCTGGCATCATGACACAGGACACATCAAATCAGGGAGACATTTTTGTTGCAGCAAATCTTCTGTCAAAAGCTTAATGGTTATCATCTTCAGAAACTATATAGCTGATGATAATTAGTCATAGGCTCTATAAGAACAGTCCAAAGCTAATACCTGCAAATGTGTCAGAGATCTAAATAGCTTGGTTTTTCTGACATATCTATGGCTAGGAAGAAAGGGCAAGAAGCTGAATAAATGTTTGAGTTCAACCTCCTCAAGCAAACCTAAGTGTTCTTGAACAATGACTTGATCAAATTGATACATCAAAAAGTTTAAGCCAACCTCTAATCTTGGTTGAAGACTCAAGGCTTATGCATGTCAATACTTATCACATTCAAGAGTCAAAACAGATTCCAGAGTTAGTCCAGAGGAATCCCATGTGTGTAGATATTGTACTCATGCTACATGAGTAAGGCATAGAAAATCAAGAGTCAGCATCATTCTAAATCATGTGGTAACTCTGGGCTATCAACAGTGAAGATCTGTTAACTGTAGTGACCAAGAATTCATGTTCTATGAAAAGTATAGCTGTACTTCTCATGAAAGGTTTTTAGCAATAAGAGTTCAAAGATAAGAGTGTTCAAATTAGATAGACGATTCGTGCGAAGGCTGACTCCACTGGCTCAGACAGTACAGTATTCAAAGAGAGGATTTGAGGAAGTGAAGCCTAGCAAGATTTTCCAGCCTGGGCACGAGCTTAAAAGCAAAACTCCAACTGTAAAAGTCTTCTTCTAATCAGACATTGTAGCCCATCAATGAAGTACCCTGACCAAACAGGCCATTTCCTTTTGCCCTTTCAGGGAAGACACTTAACCTGTGTGGCACCTCTGAAAACCACTCTCTCTCCCATCAGGTTTTCACAGAGAATCTGCTGGCTTCCTTCCTTGCCAAGGCTGCAGCTCTCAGCTGGACAGGAGTAAGTTGCCTCCCACCTGCTTTCCCTGGAGAATGTTGATTGAGATAAGCGCACGTTGAGTCTGACATCCTACAAGCTGAATAGGTCCAACCTTCTGGACCATCCTGATCAGATTGTGGCTACAAGCTATAAAAGCTCTCTCTGTGCTGGAACTGGGCCACAACACAACTGATAAATTACTTTCTTTTTCATAGTAATTTCATGGCACATCTCTCTTAAAGAATTTTATCAGGTTATTGACAAACTTTGGATAAGTTGTTAGCATAGCTGTGGAGCACCAGGGGTGTGGTGGTGGCCAAGGGGACATCTGTGCCTAATGAAACTTATTAGTGTTCCATTGGTAGGATTGGTTTTGACTCTCCAGCAGTGATTTGTGATCATCTTTAACTGTCCACATGCATATAAAGGTCCACAAACTATAAAATAACTGCATGATTAGGGTCTTTGTATATCATAGCATACCTTAACAACTTGCATTAATAGCATTGGCATTTAACCATAGCATAAATATCTATTCCCACATTTTTTGAAAGCAAGTGTTGCTTGGAATGGATGAAGTTGTTAGAACCAACTAGATGTTTTTGGCTAGCGTGAGACATTTTCCTTGGAAATACTTTTTGAATAGCCCTTAACATAAATACTTAAAGGTTTATATTTCAAATGTTGACTTTAACATAACCTTTATCAATATAAATATGTACTGCTGATGAATTCAATATGGGAGGTAGAAATTGAAAGTGAAAGTTCTGCTGTACTCTTAATGAGAAAAGGAAAATGAAAGATGAAATGACCTAGTTCTCCTTTAGCTGAAGTCTTGCAATTTCTTAGTCCCACTGCTGAATATGTCCGGTCACCCCATTGTTTAATGAAGGGCTATTACAATTTGCAATCTCCATCCTTTAGTGAAATTAAGCTTAGGTATGCCCATCTTTTCTAATGAAGAATCCTGGAGAACTCAAAAGCTTGCACACTATTTTGTGACCTTGAGTGGGCCTAATAAATCTATTGCCCTACTATGGATTTTGAATCCCCGTGCCCCTGCTTAACACCAGGGTAGCATAGCACTGTTACTTTTATTTATTTATTGCAAGTCTAACTATATGTAACAGAACAAAATGCCTACTTCCCCCCAAATTCTTGCTCCTGTTGCTTATCTAGTATCTGATTTTAGATCTTCAGCTCCTCAGCACAGGAGCCTGCCTCTTCATACTCTGGAAGGAGCCATATGAATCCATTCTTATCATAATTTTGGAGAAGAATGGGAGGAAAAATTAGGTTAACTTAATGATAGTTGAGGTTGCAGTCATTTAACGTAAGTACCTGAATTTTAGGAAGTTTGGTCCTATCTCACTATTTCTTCTACATTGTTTTTACCTTTTGACTTTTGCAAGAATGTGCCCTTGCTGTACTGTAGCTATTCTACTGAAATACTTTGTTGCAGTTTGTCTTGTGCTTAATTCATTTAATATTTTTAAAGTGAAGAATGTCTCTTACATACAGAACCTTATTTGCTTTTGTTACACAGCTGCAAATGCTTGATCTATTTGCACAAACCAAGAGTAACTTACAGAAAAGCTGTGCATGTAAGGCTTGTTCAAGGTATCAGTGTAAGGCTTTTGCCAGATGGTCGGATACCTGCGGTTCAGTGGAAAGAGTACTGCTTATTGTCTCTATGATTGCCTTCAGAGGAATGTATAGGGGTCATGTGTATTATCCCTTCCGCACCCTCAGTTCCTCATTATGCTGGGAGAAACCTATGCATGTAGATTGAAATGAACATACACATTTTGATGCACCTTAAAATGAACATCAACACAAAGTGTATGGAGTCAGGAGCTGAGATGGAATTATGATCCACCCGGCCACTTTAGCAGGCATTCTGAGCATATTTGTAAAGCTTTGCTATTAAGTGACCTAATCAGATTTCTGAATGTCAGAACCTGCACATATTCTCTGGAATCCTTAAGTATTATTACTATATGGAAGCTGTTCAAGAAAATGTAAGGTTTGGCTAGCTGAATATGTCCGGCATGTTTTGTATTTTTAAAATCCCAAGAATTATTATTAATTCAAAATAATATTCTAATCCAAACAATAGTATCTTTTCCTTCCAGAAACTATCCTTACAAAACACCAGAGAGGAATATTTTAAACTATCATTTTTACTTTTTTCTCTTTGAAGTAGATAAAGGTCATGATTTGCTTCGGCTAAGAAACACCATTCAGACCTTCTTCTGTACCTGTCTTTCTGTATGGAAACATAATTGTGTCTCTAATATATTTTGCTTTGTCATTTTGGGAATGCAACATCATCTGTCATTTCTAAAGGGGAAAATAATAATGGTAGCCAAACTGAAATGGGCTTCAGTTACAAATCAGAATAATATTAAAATTGCCAGAGGCAACATTTAATATCACAGCTCTCATTTTGAGTGAACTAGCTGTCCTGTAAAAATTTCACAGTATTTTTTGCTGGGTGAAATCTGTTTGCACTATGGGACTTTTTCCTCCTCTCTCCCTCTGCAGCCCTCTGTTCCTCCTGCATCTGTCCCAGAGGGACCTGAAGGCTCACAGAGGACTACTGAGGAGGGAGAATTTGGAGGCAGCACTGAAAACTCCATGTGCATGTTGTCTGTACATTTGTGAAGACTAGAGATCTTTACAGAGAGGTCCACTTAAACCGCATTGGAACAAACAGGCATTAAGCACAAATAATTCTGTACTGGATTGTGCACAGAGGTGGCACAATCCAGTGCTGGATTTCTCTGCATTACCTTTCATAAATGAGCTTCCTTATCTGATTTAAATTGGGCACTTTGGTGTTTCCTGGATGATTATCATTTTGCATTTGCTGAATCTCTCTAATTTGGACATTTTCCCTCAAGCAACCTTGTGCTAAATTTCTCTCATAATTATGTTTTGATATTACTTTGTATAATTTCTGTATTTTATTTGCCAGATACATAAACTTCAGGACTTTTGGAGTAACAACTTTTGTGTTGTATCTATTTATAATCCATTTTTCTGCTCCATATCAATCAGAATAACATCCAATCAGTAAGTGGTATGCATTTATGTTTAATTATGCACAAATACCCATTAATTTTTTAGCTATTAGCTCCAGAATCTTTAAGTTAATCGTCCAACAATTCTTCTTAAGTAAGGCACCATAGCCCTCTTCATAAAGCTGACGGCTTATTTAATGCTAATGAAAGAGGACAGTTCAGTTTTGCTATTTGCTGAACATTCTTGTTGTGTGTGTGAGTGCGTGTGGTATTAGATCCAAGAGGAATCCAGCAGCTTCTGCTTTCCTGCTCAGGCATATAGTTGCAATTCCTGTAGATCTGTATAATGGCCTCTGGTGCTCTGACATTACATAGTTCATTAGTATGCTCTGTAAAAAGAGAAGCTTTTGCTTTTGATGTGCTGTAGGTGATTGTAGGAATGAATTTCAAAGCTCCTTTAGCAAATTCCCATCATTCCCAATAAGAATGTGTGAAAATCTTTATTTTGTGCATACTTTACCTCCCCACATTCAATGATAACCATGGAAGTTCTGCTGCCAGATGTCTCGCATATTTATGTTATTACCTTTATATCCCACTTTTCTCCAAGGAGTTTCAGGGAAGATACATGGTTCCTCACCTTCATCCTATCTTTGCAGTAACACCTTGAAGTCCATTAGGCTCTGAAACAGGAACTGGCTGAAGGTCACCCATTGAGTGGCTGTGTGTTAATTTCAACCTGGCATTGAAACCTTGGAAATCCTTGGTTTTCATTTTCTTTTTTTATTGCATAATCAGATCAGTATATTGTAAATTGAGAAAATGCAAGCTATTTACTAAAGGCACCTTAGTAAGGTACTCATGGAGAAGGCAAAATTGTGTTCATATATGAAAGAAATGCTTCCATTGTAAAAATAATTAACTGTACTGTTAGATGTGTTCTTTCCTACATATTGTGTTCTATGCCTGAGGCCTTGCTAAAAGAAGCAAAGATGTCTTGTGGTGGCATCATCTCTGTGGAAAGTCCAGAGCAGAAGTGAGGGATCCCAGATTCCACTGTATCTGGGGTCAGACAGCATGATGAAATGTTCACTATTAATTCTGCCCCTTTTTTCACATATGCATATCATATACTTAAATGTATATATATCATATACTTTTTAAATTTAAATAAATATCATATACTTAAATTAGAAGTATCATCTTTATCAAAGCATACAGCAGTTTCATCCAAGGATGCATGAAATACTGACAGGATCACAGAAGGATACGTAATTCCTTTACCTTCATCAGTTAATCAGAGACAAATGCTTTGGTTACATTAGCCTGCTCACCTTGCAGAAGATTTTAATGAACTTTAGTTCTGTATACCAGACAACTCTCTCCTTCTGAGTGACATTTAATCAGGTGGCCATTTGCTTAGCTATCAGAGATTCTACTGGGCCCCTCTTAAAACTGAATAGCTTCCTTATTGTTCCTTTCTATTAAAAACAGCATTGGGTCTCTTGATTTCTTACTGGAAATGGGAACCCACTGCATTTTAAAATCAATATCATCTTGGAACATACCTGGTTCTTTCTAAATCCTCTAACCCCTGGGTATTCCCCTCATGACAAGAGTAATCCATCAGAGATGATGGCGGGTGATTTTTACCTGGTTCATTCTTTCCCTTTAAAATTCTGGTTCAACTAACTTCTGATAGCATTGAGGAGCCATTCACAGAAAACAAAAATCTGTAAGATAACAATACTGATCTTGCCTGTCACAGAACAAGGAAATGTTTCTTTCTGCTGATCCATAAAAAATGTTAGAATGCTTTATAAGTGCAAAGCATGCACACAAAGGTGGTTATCTCAAATGAATCAAGAACTAAAGGAGGGAGCCGCTTGTGATGACTAGTCCAAAATAGCAGGGCGGAAATGGAATCCAAAGTGCCAGGTACAGAACACAGCTTACCTCAGGGGTTTCTTGCTGCAGCCTCTCATGTCCTCAAGG